TTCCAGCAACTCATAACCCAGTCTAGAATTTCATGCGGAATCCGCCTTATATAGCAGTAGTGCAACCCGCAACGATCGTCACGACTGACGTCAGTTTCAGCAGCACTTAGTGCAGCCTTTACGGCCTCGTGCAGCCTTGGAGGTCTAGTTTTTCCTTCTGAATGAGCAAAGACGTTTCCAATGGCTACCTTGACCGTCTCTTCATGGGAATCCAACCTACTATTCGGCTTTTCACGCTCTTCGTTTTTCTAGCATGACTAATTAATGCCATTGCACTCTTGAATTGTCACCTTCCGTTAGTTTCCCAGTAGGTCGCTGCACCACAAAATGACGTGATTTCCCCACAGAATGAGCGCCCTTTGTTGCTGACAGAGTGCACAAAGCACAGCAAGCCTACAGTATGCCAAATAAAGATATCCGCAAAACGTATTTGCACTAATTAACGTATGTCCGTTCTAATATACGTTCTTACTAATACGTGATGACAGTGTCCTGAGCACTTAACGAATTAGTGCACACATACACGTCGTGCTTTTGTTCCGGAGATTAGGTGACGAGGAAAAGTGCATCGCCTTCCATCATACTTAATTTCGATCACTATTAATTTCTCGAATTACAGGTGAACAACGTTTCCTTGCGCGGAGTCACCCACGATCAGGCGATTTCATCCCTTCGTCGAACTCCCCCAAAGGTAAGCTTTTTTGTATGTGATTAATTGCGGCCAAGCTTGTGAATTGCCGCTTTCTCGACTGAAGGGACCGCGTTTACGTGAAGTAAGCAAACCAGCCCTTTTGGCGTTTCTGCTGGGGCCGTATGCTGAATGTTGGGGAGGGGATGGGGTCCCCGACGGTCGACGGACCACTTCAACTCGGTCCTTAGAACCGCCACAATTTGGTGCTTACCTCAGAACTAAGCCTTAAAGAGAGGACGGGTCCGTCCCCTCTCCAAGGCTTAGTCCTGGGGTGAGCAAACCAGCCCTTCTGGCGGAGCTGCTGGACCAGCTGCACCACTTGCGTCAGTACTCTCCTATCGTACCAACCGAGTTCAAGTAGTCGTCGACCTCGGGGCCCATCCCTCTCCACATTCAGCATACGGCCCCAGCAGAACGCGAAGGGCTGGTTTCTTGCCTCAAGTTACTCGAAGGGGGTTATATATACGCTTTGTTTAGCCTATTTTTTCATATCTTTTCAACGTGAGCACTGTTCCATATGAGGGTGGCACGCCATCTGTCCCTAGGCGGACCCATCGGAGAGTTCTTTATATTCTTTCGATTTTTCAGGTTCGGCTTCTGATCTACCGCGATGTGAACCTTCAACTGAGCCTCCTCGATCCCACCCAAATTCTACAACATGTTTGAAGTGGAGCTGGTGAAGAAACCGGGAAGGGGCCTCGGCCTGAGCATAGGTAACTAATTAGTCTTTTATGGTAACTAGCATTTTGAGGTGTGGCATGTAGGCATGGTGGTCGTCAGACCATAAGCGGCAGATTGTGAGAATCAGCAGGGGTTTACGTGGCAAGACGACTTAACTGCAAGGCTTTCTAATGCGCGAAGGAGTTGGAAAGCTTTGGACCTGCAATACTCGCTCATCTCGTGATGCGACGCTGTGCTAAGGAAAGGGAGACTGGAGCGCGGGAGGGCGATGGAGGGAAAGAAGCAACAGATAAGAAGACGCCAGGACAAAACTGAAGCGGACACTTGAGCCTGAGCTGCTTGCAAGATACTTAATCAAGGATCTAGCGCCTCTGTTAGGGCGATTTCCATCAGCAGTAGTGCATTCTGTTAGATAGCTCTTCTAGGTTTCCATTAGTACAGATGCGAAAAGAGTCGTTCACATGATCCTATGGGTTGTTGCCTTGCAAGGCGAAGAGAGCGATTAATTGTTTGTGGATAATTTCATTGAAAAAATGAAGTGGGGATGGGAGGTGGGCTACACATGGAGGAAAAATGAAGGAAAATCGTGAATTACGCAAGAAATGCGAGCCTTTTTGCTCTACGCTACGGCTTTCTCATTCTGAGCCGGTGTCCATACGCGCTTCTCTTGCACCTAAATGCATACTTTCCACAGAGCGCCTGGTTGCGAGCTAGTCTCGTGTGGGCCTCAGAAAAAGATGCAGGGTGTCGTGTACTGAAGAGGTCCTTGGCAGAAATGAGGATAATTTCAACCTCACTGGGTGATTTGATTCTTCCTAAAATATCCGCAATTTCAGTTGGTCGTAAGAACGAGCCCGGTGTCTACGTGAGTGAAGTGGTCAAGGGTGGCGCAGCCGAAGCTGATAACCGATTGATGACTGGCGATCAGGTAATTTCCCTACTTATTCGTCTTCTCGAGAACCACACGTTCATTTGAATCCGTCTTTCAGATTCTCGCTGTCAACGGACAAGACGTGGCGAATTCAATGCAGGAAGATGTGGCGGCTATGCTGAAAACGTGTGTTGGACGAGTTTGCTTAAAGGTTGTCGATTTTTGTCACGAATAAGGGAATCCTCGCCTTTTCGGGTTATGGTAGTCTATTTCAAAACTTTTGTATCCCCCTGAGCACGATCCAAAACTTCATGACGTATGTGGTTAAGAAGTTAGGCAGGGATAGCCGAGTGGTTAAGAGGTTAGACTCATGTCTGCACCTCTGAAAACCGCGAGTTCGATCCCTGCCGAGGCTTAACCATGCCTTGCAAAAATTGCAAAAATGGTTCTAGTACCAGCGTCAGGCCCAGGTTGACAGGCCGGCTGATGAAGACCCCCGTCACAACAAATATGTCTAAAATCGAAAAAGGAATCAGTGAAGCAGACCCTGTGACTGAGCGGGACAAACGCTAGGGGGAAAATATGTGCTTAAGAAGTTCCTGATTTTTTCCAAATATCGTGGCCGCCTTTCCTCCTAGATCCAGAAAACTCGAGAAGCATAAACTAGTAAAGAAACAAGCCTTAGGTACGTTAATTTCCTGGATGATCATTCACAGGCTGAGATATTCTTCTCTATTCTTTCAATTGAAAATAGCGCCATAGCGAACACTGCATGTGCTCAGAATGTCTGGATGAATTAGTTTCAAGCACATGAGCTACAGTAGCGGTCAAAAAAGGTCGAAACGGTTTTTCGTTTACAACTTTTTCTTTCAAGACCGATTTGCCTTAAATTTTGAAATTTTATGTCTTTTGATGTCGCAAAAAGACGGCACTATTTGCATTGTTAACGCAGTTCCTCATACATGATCTACTGCAGCATTTTTTGCAAGCACCATTTTCAGTATCTCCAAGGTATCCCACGGAGTACATCCCACACTATTTTAAAGCTGTTCTCGCAGTTGAGGTCTACTACTGTATTTATGATTTTCTGAACAACGATCAATATCACCGTTTGAGTGGAAAAGTGTCTTTGGAATTCTCAAAATTATGTTATGTCATGTTGAATTAAAGTTAAAGTTAAAAAATTAAACTCCGAAGAAACTTTCTACAAAAGCCGTAATCCAATCTTTTCTTAGCATTTTGAAATAAGAAGGAATTGATTTATGGTGTTCTCCTGTCCCCAAGATCAACTGTACTTTCAACTGTTGAGAAGTATCTTCCAAAAATGGACCATGCATTAGCTTTCCTTTCAACAATAGGTAAATTTTAACCGAAAAATCCATAGATAAGACCGTTTGGCAGAGTGAGCGTTGTCGGTCAATAGCCCTAGAAACCACTGCTGAACGAAAAAGGCGGGGCAAACGATAACGCGCGTCTTTAGCAAAAATCTAAGCGGTCTGTAGAATCTCATGCTAAATGTGAAGCTGTTCTATGCCATAACTTTCTGAGGTGGCTCAAGTATTTCTGTTT